CCGTGTACCAGGATCTCCAAGACCCCGGGTACCAGGATATCTAGGACCCCGTGTACCAGGATCTCCAGAACCCCATGTACCAGGATCTCTAGGACTCCGTGTACCAGGATCTCTAGGACCCCGTGTTCCAGGATCTCCAGGACCCCGTGTATCAGGATCTCCAGGACCCCGTGTACCAAGAACTCTAGGACCCCGTGTACCAGGATCTCTAGAACCCCGTGTACCAGGATCTCTAGGACCTCGTGTACCAGTAACTCTAGCACCCCGTGTACCAGGATATCTAGGACCCCGTGTACCAGGATCTCTAGGACCCCGTGTACCAGGATCTCTAGGACCCCGTGTAACCAGGATATCTAGGACCCCGTGTACCAGGATCTCCAGAACCCCATGTACCAGGATCTCTAGGACTCCGTGTACCAGGATCTCTAGGACCCCGTGTTCCAGGATCTCCAGGACCCCGTGTATCAGGATCTCCAGGACCCCGTGTACCAAGAACTCTAGGACCCCGTGTACCAGGATCTCTAGAACCCCGTGTACCAGGATCTCTAGGACCTCGTGTACCAGTAACTCTAGCACCCCGTGTACCAGGATATCTAGGACCCCGTGTACCAGGATCTCTAGGACCCCGTGTACCAGGATCTCTAGGACCCCGTGTAACCAGGATCTCTAGGACCCCGTGTACCAGGATCTCTAGGACCCCGTGTGTCAGGATCTCTATGACCCCGTGTACCAATATATGTAGGACCCCGTGTATCAGGATCTCCAAGACCCCGTGTCCCAGGATCTCTAGGACCCCGTGTACCAGGATCTCTAGGACCCCGTGTACCAGGATCTCTAGGACCCCGTGTACCAGGATCTCCAGGACCCCGTGTACCAGGATCTCTAGGACCCCGTGTACCAGGATCTCTAGGACCCCATGTACCAGGATCACTAGGACCCCGTGCACCAGGATCTCCAAGACCCCGTGTCCCAGGATCTCTAGGACCCCGTGTACCACGATCTCTAGGACCCCGTGTACCAGGATCTCAAGGACCCGTGTATCAGGATCTCCTAGACCCCGTGTCCCAGGATCTCTAGGACCCCGTGTACCAGGATCTCTAGGACCCCGTGTACCAGGATCTCTAGGACCCTGTGTACCCGCGTCTCCAGGACCCCGTGTACCAGGATCTCTAGGACCCCGTGTACCAGGATCTCCAGGACCCCGTGTTCCAGGATCTCTAGGATCCCGTGTACCAGGATCTCTAGGACCCCGTGTACCAGGATCTCTAGGACCCCGTGTACCAGGATCTCCAGGACCCCGTGTACCAGGATCTCTAGGACCCCGTGTACCAGGATCTCTAGGACCCCGTGTACCAGGATCTCTAGGACCCCGTGTACCAGGATCTCTAGGACCCCGTGTACCAGGATCTCTAGGACCCCGTGTACCAGGATCTCTAGGACCCTGTGTACCCGCGTCTCCAGGACCCCGTGTACCAGGATCTCTAGGACCCCGTGTACCAGGATCTCCAGGACCCCGTGTACCAGGATCTCTAGGACCCCGTGTACCAGGATATCTAGGACCCTGTGTACCAGGATCTCCAGGACCCCGTGTACCAGGATCTCTAGGACCCCGTGTACCAGGATCTCCAGGACCCCGTGTACCAGGATCTCTACGACCCCGTGTACCAGGATCTCTAGGACCCCGTGTACCAGGATCTCTAGGACCCCGTGTACCAGGATCTCTAGGACCCCGTGTACCAGGATCTCTAGGACCCTGTGTACCCGCGTCTCCAGGACCCCGTGTACCAGGATCTCCAGGACCCCGTGTACCAGGATCTCTAGGACCCCATGTACCAGGATCTCTAGGACCCTGTGTACCCGCGTCTCCAGGACCCCGTGTACCAGGATCTCTAGGACCCCGTGTACCAGGATCTCCAGGACCCCGTGTACCAGGATCTCTAGGACCCCGTGTACCAGGATCTCCAGGACCCCGTGTACCAGGATCTCTAGGACCCCGTGTACCAGGATCTCTAGGACCCCGTGTACCAGGATCTCTAGGACCCCGTGTACCAGGATCTCTAGGACCCCGTGTACCAGGATCTCTAGGACCCCGTGTATCAGGATCTCCAAGACCCCGTGTCCCAGGATCTCTAGGACCCCGTGTACCAGGATCTCTAGGACCCCCGTGTACCAGGATCTCTAGGACCCCGTGTACCAGGATCTCCAGGACTCCGTGTACCAGGATCTCTAGGACCCCGTGTACCAGGATCTCTAGGACCCCGTGTACCAGGATCTCCAAGACCCCGTGTACCAGGATATCTAGGACCCCATGTACCAGGATCTCCAGAACCCCGTGTACCAGGATCTCTAGGACTCCGTGTACCAGGATCTCTAGGACCCCGTGTACCAGGATCTCCAGGACCCCGTGTATCAGGATCTCCAGGACCCCGTGTACCACGAACTCTAGGACCCCGTGTACCAGGATCTCTAGAACCCCGTGTACCAGGATCTCTAGGACCTCGTGTACCAGTAACTCTAGCACCCCGTGTACCAGGATATCTAGGACCCCGTGTACCAGGATCTCTAGGACCCCGTATACCAGGATCTCTAGGACCCCGTGTAACCAGGATCTCTAGGACCCCGTGTACCAGGATCTCTAGGACCCCGTGTGTCAGGATCTCTATGACCCCGTGTACCAATATCTGTAGGACCCCTTGTATCAGGATCTCCAAGACCCCGTGTCCCAGGATCTCTAGGACCCCGTGTACCAGGATCTCTAGGACCCCGTGTACCAGGATCTCTAGGACCCCGTGTACCAGGATCTCCAGGACCCCGTGTACCAGGATCTCTAGGACCCCGTGTACCAGGATCTCTAGGACCCCGTGTACCAGGATCTCTAGGACCCCGTGCACCAGGATCTCCAAGACCCCGTGTCCCAGGATCTCTAGGACCCCGTGTACCACGATCTCTAGGACCCCGTGTACCAGGATCTCAAGGACCCCGTGTATCAGGATCTCCTAGACCCCGTGTCCCAGGATCTCTAGGACCCCGTGTACCAGAATCTCTAGGACCCTGTGTACCCGCGTCTCCAGGACCCCGTATACCAGGATCTCTAGGACCCCGTGTACCAGGATCTCCAGGACCCCGTGTTCCAGGATCTCTAGGATCCCGTGTACCAGGATCTCTAGGACCCCGTGTACCAGGATCTCTAGGACCCCGTGTACCAGGATCTCCAGGACCCCGTGTACCAGGATCTCTAGGACCCCGTGTACCAGGATCTCTAGGACCCCGTGTACCAGGATCTCTAGGACCCCGTGTACCAGGATCTCTAGGACCCCGTGTACCAGTAACTCTAGCACCCCGTGTACCAGGATATCTAGGACCCCGTGTACCAGGATCTCTAGGACCCCGTATACCAGGATCTCTAGGACCCCGTGTAACCAGGATCTCTAGGACCCCGTGTACCAGGATCTCTAGGACCCCGTGTGTCAGGATCTCTATGACCCCGTGTACCAATATCTGTAGGACCCCTTGTATCAGGATCTCCAAGACCCCGTGTCCCAGGATCTCTAGGACCCCGTGTACCAGGATCTCTAGGACCCCGTGTACCAGGATCTCTAGGACCCCATGTACCAGGATCTCCAGGACCCCGTGTACCAGGATCTCTAGGACCCCGTGCACCAGGATCTCCAAGACCCCGTGTCCCAGGATCTCTAGGACCCCGTGTACCACGATCTCTAGGACCCCGTGTACCAGGATCTCAAGGACCCCGTGTATCAGGATCTCCTAGACCCCGTGTCCCAGGATCTCTAGGACCCCGTGTACCAGAATCTCTAGGACCCTGTGTACCCGCGTCTCCAGGACCCCGTATACCAGGATCTCTAGGACCCCGTGTACCAGGATCTCCAGGACCCCGTGTTCCAGGATCTCTAGGATCCCATGTACCAGGATCTCTAGGACCCCGTGTACCAGGATCTCTAGGACCCCGTGTACCAGGATCTCCAGGACCCCGTGTACCAGGATCTCTAGGACCCCGTGTACCAGGATCTCTAGGACCCCGTGTACCAGGATCTCTAGGACCCCGTGTACCAGGATCTCTAGGACCCCGTGTACCAGGATCTCTAGGACCCCGTGTACCAGGCTCTCTAGGACCCTGTGTACCCGCGTCTCCAGGACCCCATGTCCCAGGATCTCTAGGACCCCGTGTACCAGGATCTCCAGGACCCCGTGTACCAGGATCTCTAGGACCCCGTGTACCAGGATCTCCAGGACCCCGTGTACCAGGATCTCTAGGACCCCGTGTACCAGGATCTCTAGGACCCCGTGTACCAGGATCTCTAGGACCCCGTGTTCCAGGATCTCTAGGACCCCGTGTACCAGGATCTCTAGGACCCCGTGTACCAGGATCTCTAGGACCCTGTGTACCCGCGTCTCCAGGACCCCGTGTACCAGGATCTCTAGGACCCCGTGTACCAGGATCTCTAGGACCCCGTGTACCAGGATCTCTAGGACCCTGTGTACCCGCGTCTCCAGGACCCCGTGTACCAGAATCTCTAGGACCCCGTGTACCAGGATCTCCAGGACCCCGTGTACCAGGATCTCTAGGACCCCGTGTACCAGGATCTCCAGGACCCCGTGTACCAGGATCTCTAGGACCCCGTGTACCAGGATCTCTAGGACCCCGTGTACCAGGATCTCTAGGACCCCGTGTACCAGGATCTCTAGGACCCCGTGTACCAGGATCTCTAGGACCCTGTGTATCCGCGTCTCCAGGACCCCGTGTGTGTGTGTGGATATTTTCCGTGGCACATGACGAATGTGCTGAGTTTTGTCTTGTATCATTATCACTGCAGTAGCCACGAGCTGCACGTGAACAGCGAGCGACCCGCGGGCAGTGTCCGGGCCCGCGACCTGACACGGCTCGCGGGTGGTCCAGCCCCGCCCCCGTGGGGACGTGACCCCGCCCCTACCAGACCCCTCCACCCCCACCTCTAACCCCCCCCCTGCACCCCCACTCTCACCACTTGACGCCCCCCCGGGGCTCGTCCAGCAGCACGCGCACGATGTAGAGGAGGCACGTGACGAGGCGCAGCGAGAAGGACACGAGGCGCACGCGCAGACCTGGGGTGGGGGGGGGGGTATATGGGTCACGTGCGCTGGTGCACATAGCCTGGTACGCGTCTCGTGTACCTGGTGCACATAAACTGGTACGCGACTCGTGTACCTGGTGCACATAGCCTGGTACGCGACTCGTGTACCTGGTGCACATAGCCTGGTACGCGTCTCGTGTACCTGGTGCATATAAACTGGTACGCGACTCGTGTACCTGGTGCACATAGCCTGGTACGCGACTCGTGTACCTGGTGCACATAAACTGGTACGCGACTCGTGTACCTGGTGCACATAAACTGGTAGGCGACTCGTGTACCTGGTGCACATAAACTGGTAGGCGACTCGTGTACCTGGTGCACATAGCCTGGTACGCGACTCGTGTACCTGGTGCACATAGCCTGGTACGCGACTCGTGTACCTGGTGCACATAGCCTGGTACGCGACTCGTGTACCTGGTGCACATAGCCTGGTACGCGTCTCGTGTACCTGGTGCATATAAACTGGTACGCGACTCGTGTACCTGGTGCACATAGCCTGGTACGCGACTCGTGTACCTGGTGCACATAAACTGGTACGCGACTCGTGTACCTGGTGCACATAAACTGGTAGGCGACTCGTGTACCTGGTGCACATAAACTGGTAGGCGACTCGTGTACCTGGTGCACATAGCCTGGTACGCGACTCGTGTACCTGGTGCACATAGCCTGGTACGCGACTCGTGTACCTGGTGCACATAAACTGGTAGGCGATTCGTGTACCTGGTGCATATAGCCTGGTACGCGACTCGTGTACCTGGTGCACATAAACTGGTAGGCGACTCGTGTACCTGGTGCACATAGCCTGGTACGCGACTCGTGTACCTGGTGCACATAAACTGGTAGGCGACTCGTGTACCTGGTGCACATAAACTGGTACACGACTCGTGTACCTGGTGCACATAAACTGGTAGGCGACTCGTGTACCTGGTGCACATAGCCTGGTACGCGACTCGTGTACCTGGTGCACATAGCCTGGTACGCGACTCGTGTACCTGGTGCACATAGCCTGGTACGCGACTCGTGTACCTGGTGCACATAAACTGGTACACGACTCGTGTACCTGGTGCACATAAACTGGTAGGCGACTCGTGTACCTGGTGCACATAGCCTGGTACGCGACTCGTGTACCTGGTGCACATAAACTGGTAGGCGACTCGTGTACCTGGTGCACATAAACTGGTACACGACTCGTGTACCTGGTGCACATAAACTGGTAGGCGACTCGTGTACCTGGTGCACATATCCTGGTACGCGACTCGTGTACCTGGTGCACATAGCCTGGTACGCGACTCGTGTACCTGGTGCACATAGCCTGGTACGCGACTCGTGTACCTGGTGCACATAAACTGGTACACGACTCGTGTACCTGGTGCACATAAACTGGTAGGCGACTCGTGTACCTGGTGCACATAAACTGGTAGGCGACTCGTGTACCTGGTGCACATAGCCTGGTACGCGACTCGTGTACCTGGTGCACATAGCCTGGTACGCGACTCGTGTACCTGGTGCACATAAACTGGTAGGAGACTCGTGTACCTGGTGCACATAAACTGGTACACGACTCGTGTACCTGGTGCACATAAACTGGTAGGCGACTCGTGTACCTGGTGCACATAGCCTGGTACGCGACTCGTGTACCTGGTGCACATAAACTGGTAGGAGACGCGTATGCACGTGTAGTGGTACAGAAAGAAAACGAACCCCCGTATCGCAGCCGTAACAGATGGAGGGGCAAGTGCTGTGAGCGTGCACCTATCAAGGCCGTCACTGCACACGAGGGGGTGGGTGGCGAGCACCACGCACGACCGCCTTTGTCTCCACAGTGGCGATGTTTACTACACACCGCACCAGGTACTCATTTGAGGCCGGGACGACCTAGGGGAGGAGACCCAGGACCGGTTCAGATCATCGTCACCGGTGTTGGCCGTGAGCGGGAATCGAACTCGGGTGGCCGGGTTCGTAGAGCCGCGTAGCGCTGACCGCCGCACACGGGCACGCACTGGAGCGCTGGTTCTTGATGAAGAAGAGTTTCAGTCGCTCCTTGAATGAGTTCTCACTCGCGAGCAGCTCCAGTTCCACCCTAGGGGCGGGGGTGGGGGACAGGGGATGTGAGCGAGCTCCGACAGCTGTCAATGCTGTACCAGAACTTGCATTGTGTTTGACTCAGCCACCAACTCGCTCAACTCACTCACCCACCCACTAAGCAACCCACCATCTCATATCCTTGTCTCTTGCAACAGTCACTCCAAATGTCGCGTTGATGTTTCTGTATCTGAGTTTGACTGTAAGTGACGTTTATAGTCATTAATGTCCGAGCCGACTTTCGACCCAGGACATGGATCTAATTCAATACGGTTTCATGTTTAAGCACTGTTTCCCATTTATACTCGAATGCAGTTGTTTTTGCCCTGATTTATATTTGCTTGCAATTGCTCTGATTTCTATTCGGTGAGTTTTGGATGAGTCGAGCATATGAATCGACCCTTGGTGAGTCAATCATTGGGTGAGTCCAGCTGTGTGAGTCGACGCCTGGTGAATCGACCCCTGAGTTTGTCAAGCCTTGTGTGAGTCGACCCTTGAGTGAGTCGAGCCCGAATTGAGTCAAGCCCTGCGTGAGTCGACTCTGTGTGAGTCGACCCCTGTGTGAGTCGAGCCCTAAGTGAGTTGACTCTGGATGAGTCGAGCCCTAAGTGAGTCGAGCCCTAAGTGAGTCGACCCCTGGGTGAGTCGAGCTCTGTGTGAGTCGCCCCCTGTGTGAGTCGACCCCTGGGTGAGTCGACTCTGGGTGAGTCGACCCCTGGGTGAGTCGACCCCTGGGTGAGTCGAGCCCTAAGTGAGTCGACCCCTGGGTGAGTCGAGCCCTAAGTGAGTCGACCCCTGGGTGAGTCGAGCCCTAAGTGAGTCGACCCCTGGGGGAGTCGAGCCCTAAGTGAGTCGACCCCTGGGTGAGTCGACCCCTGGGTGAGTCGACTCTGGGTGAGTCGACTCCTGGGTGAGTCGACTCTGGGTGGGTCGACCCCTGGGTGAGTCGAGCCCTAAGTGAGTCGACTCTGGGTGAGTCGAGCCCTAAGTGAGTCGAGCCCTAAGTGAGTCGACCCCTGGGTGAGTCGAGCCCTAAGTGAGTCGACCCCTGGGTGAGTCGACCCCTGGGTGAGTCGAGCCCTAAGTGAGTTGAGCCCTAAGTGAGTCGACCCCTGGGTGAGTCGAGCCCTAAGTGAGTCGACCCCTGGGTGAGTCGAGCCCTAAGTAAGTCGAGCCCTAAGTGAGTCGACTCTGGGTGAGTCGAGCACTGTGTGAGTCGACTCGGGGTGAGTCGACCCCTGGGTGAGTCGAGCCCTATTTGAGTCGACCCTTGGTAAGTCGGGCCCTTAGTGAGGCACTTCCTGTGTGAATCGACCCCTGGGTGAGTCGAGCCCTGTGTGAGTCGACCTCTGGGTGAGTAGAACCCTGTATGAGTCGACTGTTGATTGAGGCGTTTTCTGAGTGAGTCGACTCCTGGTTGACTTCACCCCCGGAGGCGGGGTCTCGGCTCTACGGGGGGTCCGGGTGGGCTCCGTGAATCCTAATCATCATTAGCGTCGCCATGGAAATGCGTTTGTGGATATAACTCGTTGCCATGGCGACGCGAGTGCGCGCGCGACCAAATAGCGCGGTCCCGCCTGCAGCAGCGGCGTGCGCGGAGAGAGAGCGTGCGTGTGTCTGTGTGAGAGTGTGTCTAAGTGTGTGTGTGATAGCGTGTCTAAGTGTGTGTGTCTGTATGATAGTGTGTCTAAGTGTGTGTGTCTGTGTGATAGTGTGTCTAAGTGTGTGTGTGATAGCGTGTCTAAGTGTGTGTGTCTGTGTGATAGTGTGTCTAAGTGTGTGTGTCTGTGTGATAGTGTGTCTAAGTGTGTGTGTCTGTGTGAGAGTGTGTCTAAGTGTGTGTGTGATAGCGTGTCTAAGTGTGTGTGTCTGTGTGATAGTGTGTCTAAGTGTGTGTGTCTGTGTGATAGTGTGTCTAAGTGTGTGTGTCTGTGTGAGAGTGTGTCTAAATGTGTGTGTGATAGCGTGTCTAAGTGTGTGTGTCTGTGTGATAGTGTGTCTAAGTGTGTGTGTCTGTGTGATAGTGTGTCTAAGTGTGTGTGTCTGTGTGATAGTGTGTCTAAGTGTGTGTGCCTGTGTGATAGTGTGTCTAAGTGTATGTGTCTGTGTGATAGTGTGTCTAAGTGTGTGTCTGTGTGATAGTGTGTCTAAGTGTGTGAGTGTCTGTGTGATAGTGTGTCTAAGTGTGTGTGTGTCTGTGTGATAGTGTGTCTAAGTGTGTGTGTCTGTGTGATAGTGTGTCTAAGTGAGTGTGTCTGTGTGATAGTGTGTCTAAGTGTGTGTGTCTGTGTGATAGTGTGTCTAAGTGTGTGTGTCTGTGTGATAGTGTGTCTAAGTGTGTGTGTGTGATAGTGTGTCTCAGTGTGTGTGTCTGTGTGATAGTGTGTCTAAGTGTGTCAGTGTGCTAGTGTGTCTAAGTGTGTGTGTCAGTGTGCTAGTGTGTCTAAGTGTGTGTGTCTGTGTGATAGTGTGTCTAAGTGTGTGTGTCTGTGTGATAGTGTGTCTAAGTGTGTGTGTCTGTGTGATAGTGTGTCTAAGTGTGTGTGTCTGTGTGATAGTGTGTCTAAGTGTGTGTGTGTCTGTGTGAGAGTGTGTCTAAGTGTGTGTGTGTCTGTGTGAGAGTGTGTCTAAGTGTGTGTGTGTCTGTGCGATAGTGTATCTAAGTTTGTGTGTCTGTGTGATAGTGTCTAAGTGTGTGTGTATCTGTGTGAGAGTGTGTCTAAGTGTGTGTGTCTGTGTGATAGTGTGTCTAAGTGTGTGTCTGTGTGATAGTGTGTCTAAGTGTGTGTATGTCTGTGTGAGAGTGTGTCTAAGTGTGTGTGTCTGTGTGATAGTGTGTCTAAGTGTGTGTGTCTGTGTTTAAGTGTGTGTTTCTGTGTGAAAGTGTGTCTAAGTGTGTGTGTCTGTGTGATATTGTATCTAAGTATATGTGTCTGTGTGATAGTGTGTCTAAGTGTGTGTGTCTGTGTGATAGTGTGTCTAAGTGTGTGTGTGTCTGTGTGATAGTGTGTCTAAGTGTGTGTGTGTGTCTGTGTGAGAGTGTGTCTAATTGTGTGTGTCTGTGTGATAGTGTGTCTAAGTGTGTGTATGTCTGTGTGAGAGGGTGTCTAAGTGTGTGTGTCTGTGTGATAGTGTGTCTAAGTGTGTGTGTCTGTGTGAGAGTGTGGCTAAGTGTGTGTGTCTGTGTGATAGTGTGTCTAAGTGTGTGTGTCTGTGTGATATTGTGTCTAAGTATATGTGTCTGTGTGATAGTGTGTCTAAGTGTGTGTGTCTGTGTGATAGTGTGTCTAAGTGTGTGTGTCTCTGTGTGATAGTGTGTCTAAGTGTGTGTGTCTGTGTGAGAGTGTGTCTAATTGTGTGTGTCTGTGTGATAGTGTGTCTAAGTGTGTGTGTGTCTGTGTGAGAGTGTGTCTAAATGTGTGTGTCTGTGTGAGAGTGTGTCTAAGTGTGTGTGTGTCTGTGTGAGAGTGTGTCTAAGTGTGTGTGTTTGTGTCTGTGTGAGAGTGTGTCTAAGTGTGTGTATCTGTGTGATAGTGTGTCTAAGTGTGTGTGTCTGTGTGAGAGTGTGTCTAAGTGTCTGTGTCTGTGTGATAGTGTGTCTAAGTGTGTGTGTCTGTGTGATAGTGTGTCTAAGTGTGTGTGTCTGTGTGATAGTGTGTCTAAGTGTGTGTGTGTGATAGTGTGTCTCAGTGTGTGTGTCTGTGTGATAGTGTGTCTAAGTGTGTCAGTGTGATAGTGTGTCTAAGTGTGTGTGTCTGTGTGATAGTGTGTCTAAGTGTGTGTGTCTGTGTGACAGTGTGTCTAAGTGTGTGTGTCTGTGTGATAGTGTGTCTAAGTGTGTGTGTCTGTGTGATAGTGTGTCTAAGTGTGTGTGTGTCTGTGTGAGAGTGTGTCTAAGTGTGTGTGTGTCTGTGTGAGAGTGTGTCTAAGTGTGTGTGTGTCTGTGCGATAGTGTATCTAAGTGTGTGTGTCTGTGTGATAGTGTCTAAGTGTGTGTGTATCTGTGTGAGAGTGTGTCTAAGTGTGTGTGTCTGTGTGATAGTGTATCTAAGTGTGTGTCTGTGTGATAGTGTGTCTAAGTGTGTGTATGTCTGTGTGAGAGTGTGTCTAAGTGTGTGTGTCTGTGTGATAGTGTGTCTAAGTGTGTGTGTCTGTGTGAGAGTGTGTCTAAGTGTGTGTTTCTGTGTGAAAGTGTGTCTAAGTGTGTGTGTCTGTGTGATATTGTATCTAAGTATATGTGTCTGTGTGATAGTGTGTCTAAGTGTGTGTGTCTGTGTGATAGTGTGTCTAAGTGTGTGTGTGTCTGTGTGATAGTGTGTCTAAGTGTGTGTGTGTGTCTGTGTGAGAGTGTGTCTAATTATGTGTGTCTGTGTGATAGTGTGTCTAAGTGTGTGTATGTCTGTGTGAGAGGGTGTCTAAGTGTGTGTGTCTGTGTGATAGTGTGTCTAAGTGTGTGTGTCTGTGTGAGAGTGTGGCTAAGTGTGTGTGTCTGTGTGATAGTGTGTCTAAGGTTGTGTGTGTCTGTGTGAGAGTGTGTCTAAATGTGTGTGTCTGTGTGAGAGTGTGTCTAAGTGTGTGTGTGTGTCTGTGTGATAGTGTGTCTAAGTGTGTGTGTTTGTGTCTGTGTGAGAGTGTGTCTAAGTGTGTGTATCTGTGTGATAGTGTGTCTAAGTGTGTGTGTCTGTGTGAGAGTGTGTCTAAGTGTCTGTGTCTGTGTGAGAGTGTGTCTAAGTGTGTGTGTGTCTGTGTGATAGTGTGTCTAAGTGTGTGTGTCTGTATGATAGTGTGTCTAAGTGTGTGTGTCTGTGTGAGAGTGTGTCTAAGTGTGTGTCTGTGTGATAGTTTGTCTAAGTGTGTGTGTCTGTGTGATAGTGTGTCTAAGTGTCTGTGTGTCTGTTTGAGAGTGTGTCTAAGTGTGTGTGTTTGTGTGATAGTGTGTCTAAATGTGTGTCTCTGTGTGAGAGTGTGTCTAAGTGTGTGTGTCCGTGTGATAGTGTG